AAGGAGGAGAAGCTGAGGAGGGACGCCAGCCCGTACCACGTCTTCTTGAACCATCCCGGCATCCTAGTGGGTGCAGGTCACCCCCCGGGGGCCCAGGCGGCAGCGGGCGTCCTGGTCATCTTCCAGACACGCTGCGATTCACAGCTCCTCTGCTCCCGGTGGCCAGCGCACTCGGCCAGGTCCTCTGCTGTCCGTGTTTACTACTACAGCCACGCCCGGAAGTCTGCACCGAGGCCGCCTGGGAGGGTGTCACTGGAGGAAGTAACCCTAGCTCTCCCCTGCACTAGGGTTTCAACGGGGCGCTTAATTGTTCCTCTGTTCAAGCGTTTTAATGGCCCTGGCTGGGAACAGGCAAAAACAGGTAGACCTAATGCCAGCCCTGCTCCCAAAACGCCCCTGATGGGGTGAGAACAAAAATGGGCTGTTGGACCCTTGACCACCTGGCAGTGCAGGGTATTGGATGTCTCTGAACTGTCAGCACCGTCAGAATCATCAGGGTGGTCATTCATGCCAACGAGTGATCTCTGTTGGTTTGTTTTTCACCGAAATGTGGAAATAACGTTATGGTTTGGCCCGGATTTGCTGCCGGATTGGTCTGCGGTGGGTCAGTGGCAACTGGAGTGTTCCATGGGCTCCATGGCTCATGGGGCAGCCTAGACCACACAGCCTAGATTTCCTGCCCTGCCTTTTTTTTTTCCAACAGGTTTGCAAATAATTGCCTGGTTGGGGTATTCAACCTGTTCTAATAGTGAAGATGAGCCTTTTTCCATAGCAAACTCTGCCGCATGCAAAACAAAAGCCTTCCCCGGGATGCTACCATTCTTGCCCCTGGAAGCATATTTCTGTCCCAAATGATAAGACTATGTTAAGTTTTGGTGTTGGGGAACTAAGCAGTTAATTTTATAATACTTGGATGAGAAAAAAAACACAAAACTGATTTCCAAAGAGAGCCCTTACTCAGTCAGAACTCTTTTGAGGATCTGGATTCAAATTTCAACCATTGGACTGGAGAGAACACAGTGGTTAAGGTGCATGAACTAACTGGGTTCAATGCCTGGCACCACATAGCCTACAAACTTTTTCTGGGCTTGGCTCTGGGGGTCCCTGAGCCTCACTGTGTGGGGGCTTGGAGGCCCCTGAGCACTGCAGGGCACGAGCAGCACAGCTTCACTGAACCATTGGCTTGGAGTCACCCCAGATCATGAGCACTGAACACCATTGTAAGACTCCCACCCTCCCCTCAAAAACCCCCAAAGACCCCCGCCTCCATATTCTGAAGCTTCTGGGTAAGAGACGGAGCCCCACATACCACAGTTCAGCATCTGTCCTACGATGTGGTTCAAAGGAAACTGCAGCAGGGCAAACAGCAGTGTTGCATGCAGGGCACTGAGTCAGCGCTGTTCTCTTCTCCGTCCTTCTAACAACGTCACCCCCGATGGCCACAAGCCCTGCAAGCATTCCGGAGTGAGGGACATCTGTGTGCCCACGTTTAGTAAGCACACGCCTGCTATTTGCTGTGTCCTGAGGCACAAGATGGGGAGCTGCTACTGACGAAGCTTAAATGAGATCACCCAGAGCATGCTGGGGGCTCTGACCTCAGGGAGGTGGCTCTGCGGAAGCTGGCCACCAAAGTTTGGGTCTGACTCTTAGATACTTTGTGCACTGTGGCAGCGCTGGGTTGTTGCTTTCTCCTCTCCTCTCCTTGTTGCCTTCCCCAGGCATCTGCAGCAGTTGCCCAGAGCAGAGACCTGGCTAAGTTCAGGAGGATTTTTCTGCACCGTAAGCTATGTGGAAGTGACAGCAGCATCTGGGCGGAAGGGTGGGCTAGATTCGGGGATATCTGGACACATTTTGGCCAGGGACCCCTGGAGCGGGGTGGGATGGGGATGCTACTTCAGGTCAGAGAGCAGTCAACACCCCCAGCAGGCTGAGCCCTACCTCCTGCCCCCTCCCCCCGCACACTTCTGCGCTGGGGTCCTCGGACGCGACACAGGCCAGGCTCCGTGGGATGCTGTGCTCTTTGCTGAGTTTCAGTGTGGCCTTGTGGACCTCTGAGGCTCTCATAAGCTGGGTCAGAGGGACCACGACAGCCATGAGGACAAGACTTCGGTACAACGGTAAACTTCTGTCCCTTCCCTAGCAGGCCACTTGCCTCTAGTGCTCCTGGTACACACAAATGCATGATATTTTGTTTAATTTAATTTAAATTTATTTATTTAACTGTATTTTATTTGTATAAAGTTGTTGACAATAGTTCATTATAATGACCATTGTTCATATAATATTCAAACACCAATCCCACCAACATGCACCTTCCCTCCACCATAAGAGGAAAGTGTGTGAAGATTGTTGTATTTCATTCTGGAACCATTTATGTCCTTGGATAAGAGATTACTGAAAGTGAAGAGTCTCCTGCCCCCATGCCTGGCTGTCCTCACCGGGGCCCCTTGGAGGGTGGCGGGTTGAGTTTCCCTCCCCCCCACCTGAGCAGAGCCCCAGCAGCCGAAGACCTTCAGAACCAGCCACAGCCATGCTAAGAACACTCTCCACATGTCCGGACAAGCCTCATGCATGAAGGAACCGGCAGAGGAACCCAGGCATGCAGGTCCTGGGGCTGACATCTCCAAGCCTGCTCGGATTGGGACTGGACCTTCTCCACCCAGATCCCTCATCTTCCAGTAGGTAGGTGTCAGACCCACCAGCTGCCACCAGTGCCAGGTTGGTCCCATCAACGGCCAAGACGCAGAGACTATAAAACCCAGCTCCCAGAAGCTTATTATCTTATTATCTTATTTTTCCTTTGGAGAACCTGGCAGGCTACAGAAAGTATCCTGCCCGCACGGCAGAGTCTGGCAAACTTCCCATGTCGTACTCAATATGCCAAATACCAGTAACAATGACGGGTCTCATTCTCCTAACCCTGAAAGAGCATTGAATATGGCTCTTTTAAAATCTCAGGGCTGAGAAGAAGGAGAGGTTACTGGTGCCTGCTCGAGGCAATCGACTAACAACAGGATGATCGTGATCGTGATCGTGATAAGAGATTACAAACATGTATGTTAAACCCAAACAAATGTGTGCTACTTTTGTTATATCAGTGGGCTAGAATATAAGAGGTTGCCTGGCTGCATTCACTCCAAGACATTCTGTGTTGCTCTCTTCCAGGAACTTTATTTCATAGTCTCTAGATCTTGGCCTAGATCTAGATGAGATTACATGGCGCTGGGGGTAGTTTGTGGGTGTGACCGCCAAGATACTGGAAAACTGTGGAGCTGGGAGAGGAGACCCAGCCCCGTTCTGAGCAAGCTCGGAGATCTCAGTCACAGGTTCCACATACCTGGATTTTCTGTAGGTTACCTCATAGGTGAGGGTCATCTGAGCTTGTGGAGAATGGCCTTGAGCACTCGAAGTTCTGGAGGTTTTCAGCTGCTGGGATTCTGCTTGGGGTGGGGAGGGAAACTCAACCCTCATCCCCTCGGATGTGCCCCAGTGAACACAGCCTGGTGCGGGGTCGGGATGTTGTGTGTTGCTCCAAATTTGTTTATTTTTGGTTTGGGGCCACAGCCAGTAGTGCTCAGGAGTGCTTGAGTGATCCCTGAACACTACATATGGTGCCCAGGATTGAATCTGGGCCACTGTGGGTGAGCGCTCTACCCTCTATACTATCTCTTCAGCCCTATTATTATTATTACTGTTATTTTGGGTAGGGCATTTGCTTGCATACGGCCAACGTGGGTTCGATTCCTCAGTTCCTCTCAGAGAGCCCGGCAAGCTACTGAGAGTATCTCGCCCGCACGGCAAAGCCTGGCAAGCTACCCGTGACATATTGGATATGCCAAACACAGTAACAAGTCTCACAATGGAGATGTTATTGGGCCCGCTCGAGCAAATCGATGAACAATGGGAGGACAGTGCTACAGTGCTACAGTTATTTTGGTTGGAGGGCCACACCCACTGGTGCTCAGGGCTTACTCCTAGCTCTGAGATCAGTGACCGCTCCTGGCAGGTTCAGGGGCCCATAGAGGGCTTCAGGGATGGAGCCCAGGACTGCCATATACAAATGCAAGGCCTTACTTACTGTATTATCTTTCTGCCTCCTAATTTTTATTTTTTAAAGTTTTAATTTGTGATGTAAATATTTAAAATAGAATAGACTATAATATTTCAGTGTTCAGGCACTTAAAACTATTTAAATACGCTCCCCAATAGAACTTTAAATATTCCCCAACCCCTCAAATGGAAGAGGCCTGGAACTCCTAGGCTCACCAATGTCCTCGGAATTGTAACAGAAGTGCCAGCAAAAATGATGGTATTAATCGCGCCAACTTCAGGAACTAATCTAAGTACTTGCACTTTTTAAAAATTTTGATTCACTTTTTTGGTTTGTTTTGCGTCACACCTGGTGGGCTCCTCCTGACTTGGGGCTTAGGGGATGCTGGCTGCTCCCCTTCCCTCCTTCCCGTCCCCCTTCCCCCTTCCCCCTTCCCTTCCCTTCCTTCCCTTATTAGAGCCACAGGGTGTGTGTGGGGAGTGTTGCCCAGGGGTCACTCCGGTGATGTTCTGGGAACCATGTAGGGTGCCGGGGACCAAACCCAAGCGGGCTGCGTGCCGGGCCTGCACCCTGCGTCCTACGTCTCGGGGTACCTCCGTCCTTTCTCGCGCTGAGCCTGGCGTCCCACCACCAGAGACCCGCCTTAGCGGGGTGGCCCGCGGCGCAGGGGGCCCGGGAGCGTGGCGCGCTGGGCCCAGCCGCCGCTAGGGGGCAGCAGCGGGCGCCGCGCGGGCACCTCTCGGGCGGCTCGGCGGGGCGGGGCCCGGGCGGGGAGGCTAGGGGTGGGGCCTTGGCGGGGCGGGGCGGGGTCTGGGCGGGGCCCGGAGGCGCGGGGCCAGGGCGGGGATTGGGCGGGGCCTGGGCGGGGCCTGGGCGGGGCCTGGGCGGGGCCTGGGCGGGGCCTGGGCGGGGCCTGGGCGGGGCGGCGCGAGCGGGCGCGGGCCGGGCGGGGCGCGGGGCCGGGCAGTCGGGCTCGGCGGCGGCAGCGGCAGGATGGCGGCGGCGGGCGCGGGCGAGGCGCGCCGGGTGCTGGTGTACGGCGGCCGGGGCGCGCTGGGCTCGCGCTGCGTGCAGGCGTTCCGGGCGCGCAGCTGGGTGAGCGCGCGTCGCGGGCCGGGGCCGGGGCCGGGGTCCGGGCCGGGGCCGGGGTCGGCGTCGGGGTCGGGCCCCCGCAGACCAGCATCGCCCCAGACCCCCGCGGGCCGGGGCCTGCAGGGTGCAGGGGTCGGGGCTGTGTCTCCCGCGTCCTCCGCCGGCACGGGGGTCCTCGCGGAGTTCTCCGGGACGGGACGGGGCGGAGCGGGGGCGCGGGCCCGGGGAAGGAGCCTCCGGGACAGACGCCCCCCCCCCCCGACGGGGTCGCGCGGGGGGCCTTGGGGAGACGAGCTGGGCGCTCGGGCTCGCGTCCGGGGGTCGCGGGGTCTTGTGCTCTAGAGTCCCTTTCCTTTCCATCGGCCGTCTTGGGAGGGACCTGAGGATTTCTTTCGCTTTGGTTTTGGGGTGACCTCCGCGCAGCGCGCAGGGATCGCTCCTGGGGCCGCGGGGATCGAACCGGCGGATTTTGCAAGGCCTGGCATGGGCCGGCCGGCGGGGTGCACCGGGACTTTGAAGGAGCGCGGGGCGGCCGGCCTTGTTTTGCAGAGACGCGGCCGGCCTCTGCACCGGAGCTGGAGGCCAGCCAGAGCAGGCCAGGGACCCTGACCCGGGAGACACGCCCGCCCCGTGCCTTCTGCCTGCAGCTGTCTCCAAGGCCCCTCCCTGGGCAGCGGCGAGGCCTTGGCATTAGTGCGAGGGGGTGAAGGGACAGGGTTTAACTCGGGGTCAGGATCCCGGACCCCCTTTCTTCCTGCCTTCACCCTGGGCACGCTGCGGCCTGGGGGCGCTTGCCTGCACAGAAAGGCCCTACCTACGCCCGAGGGATTTTGTTGTAAGTGAGTTTTGCTTTTTTGTTTCTAAAGTGGAGAACTTGCTTTGTAACAGTTATCTACTTTTCAGGGCTTCATTATTAGTCAATGCCTGAGGAACTTCATTGTAAGTTCACCAGTGAAAGTCCTATTTATCGTTGTTACTGTTTTTTGGGCCACACTCAGCAGTGCTCAGGGCTCACTCCTGGCTCTGCACTCAGGGATCACTCCTGGTGGGCTCAGGGGACCCTCTGGGGTGCTGGGGATAGAACCCAGGTCACTCTGGGCAACACAAGCGCCCTACCCGCTGTGCCATTTCTCTGGCCCCCAAGTTTAATTAATCTCACCAGACAATGGACTGATTCTTTTTTTTTTTTAATTTTTATTAGTGAAACACCATGAGGTACAGTTGTAGACTTACGAATTTTTGTGCTTGGGTTTCAGTTATACAATGATTGAGTACCCATCCTTCTACCAGTGCCCATTTCCCACCACCACGGATCCCAGTATCCCTCCCACCCCCCACACCCCCATCCGAGATCCCTGATCCCTTTTTCCTTATTTGCACCCTGCACCCCTCACCTCCATTCCTCCTTACCTCTAGCACCCAGTTATGGGTCCTATAAAATGTTTTATTTGTGGCCAGCTGACTTGACTGGTTGCCAGGGCCTCTTCTGGGGCCATTTATTAACTATGTGAACCTGGAGCTCTGCCCCTCAACTTGACTCCAGTGGGCCTGTGGCTACCCACCGTGATGGGAGGCCACCCCCCAGGCCACTTGGGGTCAGGTCTGACATGGCAGGATCTGGCCAGCGGATTGACCTTTGGCTGTCTTTTGGGCTCCCTCCCCGGGGAATGCTGGGAGCTGCCTGCTCTTTGTCTTGTGTCCCCCAGGACTGGGCAGATAAACAGCACTGTTTATTGTCTTGTGTTTTCACTTATTGCTTTGGGTCACACCCAGCTGTGCCAGGGATTGAACCCCAGCCCCTGCATGGCCCAGGGAGAGGTGCGGAGTTCTCCAAAGGTCCAAGTAGAGATGCTTCTCTCTGGGACTTCCTGAGAAATGTGGGTTGTCCCCTAGGCCAGGACCTGACCTGTCTGCCATCTCTTAATTCTCCCACAAGCCCTGTTCATTGCCACATCCCCAGTTGACAGCCCAGGATACATCTGCCAAGCATCTGCTTTGTGGCAGAGCCAAGATTCGAACCCCAGTGTCAGGTATTTTTTTTTCTCCCCCTTTTGGTTTTTGGGCGGAAGTGCTCTGTGCTCAGGGATCACTCCTGATGGGGCTTGGGGGACCAAATGGGTGCCAGGGATTGCACACGGGCGGGTTGTGTGCAAGGTTAGCGCCCTCCCCGCTGCACTCTCTCCAGCTGCCAACGTCCGAACCTTGAACCAAAGCCGTCCCTCTGCGCTCCAGGGCTGGGGTCCTGAAGGGCCCGCCCTTCAGGAGCTGCCACCTTGGACTCAGAGATGGTTTTTCCATTTTTAAGTGGTCGAACAGCAGCCTAAGGAAGGGGCTGTTGTTTATGGGGCTGGAGCCGTAGCATTGTGGGAGGGCATTTGCCTTTTATGCGGGTGACCCAGGTATGATCCCTGGCACCCCGTAGGGTCTCCTGACTCCCACCAGGGGTGTACTCCTGAGCTCACAGCCAGGAGCAAGCCCTGAGCACCACAGGTGCCCCCCCCTTCTCCCCCCCCCCCCCCCCCCAAAGAGAAGAATGTGCTGTGATGTGGAGAGACTCAACCTCTATTTGGTTCCTACCTCAGTGCAGTGTGAGTGGGACCCGCCCAGCTCCTTACTTCTGCTTGATGGAGTGCAGGGCCCAGTGGTCCAGGCCAGCGGAGGCCAAGATACTCACTGGGCCCCGCCATGTTCTTAGAGTTTCCTTCTCTGTCTCGTTTCTGGGTGTAGATCTTTATGCTTTTTTTTTCTTTTTCTTTTTTTATTTGGTTTTGCGGCCACGTGCGGCGATATTCCAGGCACTCTCCTGACTCTGAGCTCAGGGGTCACTCCTGGTGGTGCTTGTGGACTACGTGGGATGCCGGGGATTAAACCTGGATCAGCCGGGTGCAGGGCAGCTGCCCACCATATTCTCTCCTGGGACATGGGCCTTGAATGACATCACAGCGTCCTGTCTCTGGACCTGAAATGTGCTTTCCCTTCTCTTCAGTGGGTGGCCAGCATCGATGTGGTGGAGAATGAAGAGGCCAGTGCCAGCGTGGTGGTGAAGATGACAGACTCCTTCACGGAGCAGGCCGAGCAGGTGACTCACACCCACCCCTTGGTCTCAGGGGGCTGGGGACCTGGGGAAGCCTCCCCTCTCTCGTGCCCTACCTTATCTTTAGGAATCTCTTAGTAGGTGCCCACAGAGCCATCTGTGCCCACCGAGGGAAGTTTGGGGAAAAAATGAAACAAAAAAAAAAAACCCCAAAGCCTGGAAAACCAAAGGGAACATGATAATGGCCCGTAGCCCATTTTCGGTTTGCTGCTGTCTGTCCTGGGCTCATGTTCTTTCTTGACTTTGCTCTGCAAACAGTGCTCATGACTTCACAGGTTGAGATGATTGCGTGTTTTGCTGGCCAGCCCCTCGCCCCACCTCTAGGAATTGAACACATAACTTAAATAAGTTCTCCGGGTCACTGGTGGGGGCCGGGGCCGGGCTCAGGTGGGGGTCTCTGTGTCCTCTCCCCAGCACCACTGGGTGTAAACAAACAACCGAGCCTGTGTCGACACGTAATTTTTCGTTTTATGGATTGACCAGAATTTCATTAAAACGAAGGTTTGCCATAGTGAGGATAAAGTGGGTCCATGGCGGTGACAGTTATGCTCTTGGTCCACATGCAGCCACGTCCCCTCCCCTCCACGGAGTGCCCAGACCCTCCGGATGCTTCTTATTTTCTGCTTCAAGATTTTTTCTTGTTGTTTTTGGGCCATGCCCAGCAGTACTCAGAAGTTGCTCCCTGGCCCAATAGTACTCAGCTTACGCCTGGCTCTGAACTCGGGGTTCACACCTGGTGGTGCTCAGGGGACCAGATAAAGTGCTGGGGATCGAACCCATGTCAGCCCCGTACAAGGCAAACACCCTTTTCTCCAGCCCAGCAATTTTCTCTTTTTTGAAAAATGACACTTTTGGTGTTTGGGCCTAACCCGCTAGTGCTGAGGGCCTATTCCTGGGTGCTCAGGGATCATTGCTTCTGGTGCTGGGGGACCATATGTGGTGCCGGGATCGAGCCCAGGTCAGCTGTGTGCAAGGCCTGTGCCTTCCCCGCTGTCCTCGCTCCAGCCGAGCAGTTTTCTCTTTTGCCTTCTGGGGGAGGAAGGAAAATTTCTCCTGTTCCTCAGGGTTCTTCTCTGGCTGTTTGAATGATCTAATTAACAGCAGTCAGATGAGCAGGAGCAAAAACCCAATTGAATTTTGTCTGGTCGGGGGGGGGGGGGGGGGGGGGGGGGGAAGGGAGGGATGGGCAGACAGATTCCCTGGGGAACAGACCCGGCCGGCCAGCTTCATGGCTACGGGGCCCAGTATACAGTCTCGTAGGTCGGTCACACCTGACCAGGCGTCGAGCTTGAGGAGCCGTCTAAGTACAAACGCCCTTCTGCTGGTTCCTCTCTGAAACACCCTCTGAGTGAAATCGCCTTCTCTGTACAAGGGGCGAGTGGGACATGTAGGGAGAGAGCGCCTGACCTTGACCCTCTGCTCAAGGTCAAACAGGATTTGCGCCTTCAGCTGGCCGGCTGACTGAGTTCTGTTCTCTTCCCCCTGCTGACCAGGCGTGTCGCTCAGGGCTGGGAGGAGAGCTGGCCGCAGGGAAGCAGAGTTTCCAGCGTCCGTCCTTCCCAGGGGCTTTCTGTCATGGGGACTGCCACCCGGGGGTCAGAGAACCACCTGCCCTGCTTGTTTTGGAGCCAAATCCGGCTGTGCTCGGGGCTTCCTCCTGGCTCTGGGCACAGTGGTTTGTCCTGAAGGGGCTTGGGGGACCAGATGGGGTCCCTTTTTTTTTTTTTTTTTTGCTTTTTGGGTCACACCCAGTGATGCACAGGAGTTACTCCTGGTTCATGCCCTCAGGAATTACTCCTGGCGGTGCTCAGAGGACCATATGAGATGCTGGGAATCGAACCCGGGTCGGCTGCATGCAAGGCAAACGCCCTACCCGCTGTGCTATTGCTCCACCCCCTCTTCATTGCCTTTAAAAATTAAAAAAGTTTTTTGGAGGGGACTTGAAGTGCAAAGGAGTCATGCCCCGGGGCTCTGAAGGCTGAGCCTGGGCACTGCAAATGCCAGAATCTACCCTGGCTGAGCCCGCTTGTCTTACCTGTGGCCGGTCTGGATTCGATCATCAAGACCTCCACTGGTCCCTGAGCCCCTCCAGGAGCGATCCCTGAGCACCACCGGGTGTGGCCGCCACACAAAACAAGAGCACAGCAAGAACCTGTGGTCAACCGCTGGAGTTTGTGTTTTCCTACGTGGCTGTTCTAAGGATGCTCATGGTCCCGAGCGACTGGAGACATCTTTGCCCTAAGCCCAGTGACGTGTCCCGGGCTGCCCTGCCCATAGCGCTCCTCACCCACCTCTCATTCCCCAGGCCGAGGCTCCAGGCCCTGCAGAGCCACTTTCCAAACCAGGGAGATGGCGCCGGGCGGAGGGGGCCTGCCAAGGTGTCAGCCTGCGCTGCTCACTTGCATCTCTGTCCCTCCTGTTCCAGGTGACCGCAGAAGTGGGCAAGCTCTTGGGGGAGGAGAAGGTGGACGCCATCCTGTGCGTGGCCGGAGGGTGGGCCGGTGGCAATGCCAAGTCCAAATGTGAGTCCTTTCCTGAGCTCCTGCATCTGCCCTGGGCTCCATGCGGATGGGGGGTGGGGGGAGAGGTGAGGGGGCGTATCTCCCGGGAGCTTTGGGGGTGGGGGGGTGCTCAGGACACTGTGTTACCTGGGGAGAGTCCGGTCAGGCCTGCACACCCTGCCTGTGAGAGAACCCGGTCACACCCAGTCCCTGACCTGGCTGGCCGCTGACCTCACCAGGCCTACCACTGAACTGATAGGCCCGGCTGAAATGGGCCCTTCGGAACTCTGGGAACTCTGGGCTCTGCATGTGAGGCCCCAGGGGAATTCTTTTCTCCTTTTTCTTTCATTCTGTCTTTTTCTTCTGAGCCACACCCATTGGTGCTTGGGGGACTGGACCTTGCCTTATGTTCCCTCCCTGCCCACCCCGCCAGCTCTCTTTAAGAACTGCGACATGATGTGGAAGCAGAGCATCTGGACGTCCACCATCTCCAGCCACCTGGCCACCAAGCACCTCAAGGACGGAGGCCTCCTCACCTTGGCAGGGGCCAAGGCGGCCCTGGATGGGACTCCTGGTCAGTTGGGAAGGGCCTTTCCCCGTGGGAGGGTTCGCTGAGACTCTGGGGCGGGCGGGAGGTTGGCCCCCCTTCCTGGTGCCGCTCAGGGAGGGAGGGAGCCGGGTCGCAGACCCGGTGGCCCTGCCATGACCGAAGCAGATTCCTCACCTGAGTCACCATGTTTGAACCAAATCACTTGCTCTCTGCGCCCTTCACCATAACTCAGTGATTGGGCCCCAGAGATAGGCCCGTGGGGGAGGGCACTCGCCCTGCACGCGGCTGACCTGAGTTTGCTTCCCGGAGCCCCGCTGGGTGTGACCCAAAAGAGAACACCCTGTCCATGGTGACAGGGACTGTCCCAGGGAGAGGCGGCGCCAAGCTCCGGGGGTCTCACTTTGACTCAAGCACGGCGCTTGCCCCTGAACCTTCTTCTGTTCTGTCTTCTGTTTCCTTTACATCCGGGGCAGGAGTGACCAGGATGCGGCTTCCACCCAGAAACCCGGCCCACAGCTCCCACTGGCCTGAGAGTCAGGGGCCGGGAGTGGGTGACGGGGCGAGGGCAGAGGGGTCTGCCTCCCTGCACTGAGACTCTTCTAGAAGCACAGTGGGAGCGTGTGTGTGGGGTGGGAGGGGGACCCGGTCCAGTTAAGGGAGGAGACCTGGGGCCATCTCTTCCACCCATTTTCCCTCCTGTGTTTTTGCGTGTGTGTGAGTGTCATCGCTGAGGTCCCTCAGGCTGTGCAACTGTCAGAAGGCTTTCCCAGACAGCTCTGGGGATGTCGCCAGTAACACAGCAGGCTCTCCAGTCCACTGATGCTTTTCAGCTGTGACTGCCCCGTTCCTGCTGTTGTGATGCTTGGCAAGTTACCCAACCTCTGAGTCTCAGCGTTGCCATCTCTGAGATGGGGGCGATGCTTCCTTTCACATGGAGGCGCTGCAGCTCAGAGTGACCCGGGTCCCAGTGAGTGAACTGCTCCAGGCCATGTGTCCGACTCGTCCTGCTTCTGCTCTTCCTTTCAGCCTGAAACCTTTAGTTTGAGGTTCCTAAACCCAAGGCATGTGGTGTTTCTTTTATTTATTTTGATTTTGGGGGCCACACCTGGCGATGCGCAAAGGTCACTCGTGGCTCTGCGCTGGTGCCCAGCGGGGAATGTAGGGGATACTGGGGATGGAACCCGGTTGGCTCTTGCAAAGCAAATGCCCTCTGGCTGTGATCTTTTAACTTTGGGTTTAGATCCCAGAAAAATCTAGCACGTGTGATATGAAAGTGTGTCACTGACAGGCTGATTTACGCCTCACAACTGAGAAAGTTCGTTCAAAATGAACATTTTTCCCTCCACTGCCAGGGACCCCTGCTTCCCGCCCCTCTTTCATTCCCAGGGTGGTCTTTGTCAGTGCTCTCCCCCCTGGGCCTTCCAGGAATTGTTTTTCTTCTCCTATCTGTCTGTAATGGAGAGTTCTAGAGCTAAGATAGTAGGCTGGGGACAGTCCCTTTCTGCTTCCTCGATTCCTGTTCTGTTTGGATGGAGTGAAATTCAATCCTGTGGGAGTCCCCAGTTTGTTTGATGGCTCTGGCCTGCGCCCCCTGGGATGAAGACATCCTTTTCTCAGTGCCCTGGGGACCTTGATCCCCTTTGCAACCTTTGCAGCTGGAGGAGCTCAGCACCTGGGGCTGGGAGGGGGCCCGGCTGGACCTGCCCCGCCCACCCGGCCTGGCCCTACCCTGCCCTTCCAAGGCCTCAGGGAGCCTTTTAAAGTGTAACTGGGGTGGGGGTGGGGATGTGTGCAGGTGCTGACAGTGAGCAGGCTCTTTATTTTTGTGGCTGCAGGCCAGGCATTTGGGGGGATCCCCTCCAGGGTCCGTGGGTGCTGCGTGGGGCTGGGGACAGGGCCCCTCTTTCCTGCAAGCCTGGCTCAGCCCCAGTGGTGGGGGGTGGGCGGGGGTGGCTCTCCTTCATCCCCAGAATAGACTGGTTGTGGGATTTGTTTTTTTGAAGCAAAATTGAGTGTGTGTGTGTGTGTGTGTGTGTGTGTGTGTGTGTGTATTTTTTAGTTTTGTCCCAGTGATGCTCAGGGGTCACATCAGGGCTTCCTTTTGTGTCTGTGCTCAGGGGTCCCTCCTGGAGGGCCGGGGACTGTGTATGGGACGAGCTCGCACCCACTGTCCCTGCCTCTCTCAGGCCTGCTTGGGCTCAGGACATGTGTCAGCTCTGCCTGGCCCTCCAGCCTGGCTCGGCGAGGGCCCCCAGCCTCAGCTCCCGCCCCTCCCCTCCCGGGAGTGCCCTGCGGGGGTGCGCGTGCTCACCGGTTTTCTTTGCCTTCTGCCAGGGATGATCGGCTACGGCATGGCCAAGGGCGCAGTGCACCAGCTCTGCCAAAGCCTGGCGGGGAAGAACAGCGGCATGCCCGCGGGCTCGGCCGCCATCGCCCTGCTTCCGTGAGTGCGAGTCTCGGGACCAGACCCGTGCCCCGTGCCGACTGCCCTTTGCCCCCCAGGACCCAGACCCGTGCCAGCTTCCACCTCCCCTTCATCATTTTCTTTCCCTCCCTCCACCCCCCCTTTACTGTTCCCTTAGATTTTAGTCGGGGGGCGGGGGCACACGTGGCGGGGCACCATATAGGGTTTCGGGGATGGAGCCCACCCAGCAGAGTGCACGGTGGTGGGTACCTACCCCAGCCCCGCCCTGTGTCGCCTCCTGGAAGTAGGTGATGGGTCTTAGCCATGGGCGGGGTACGTGGGTCTGCAGGGAGGAGGGGCAGCCTCAGGAGCAGCTCCTTGGGGCAGAATCCTTGTCCTGGGCCGTCCTGGTTTCACAGCCATCTAGAATCGTGTCCTGGATATTCCAGAATTCTGGGAAACAGCCTCGGAAGAGAGGCCGGGCGGCTTCCTCGCACGTCTCAAGGAATGTTATTATCCCCCTTGAAAACTCGGAGGCACCATCCGCTCCTCCGTCCTAAGGGACTGAAATGCAGCGAGCACTACTCACTCCCATCACTGTTGTCCTTGAGGGTGGCGGTGGGGGGAGGTGCTTGGGGGCCTGGGTGGTCATTTTAATTACTTTTGAGGGGTGGGAACAAATTTCTCTTTTTTTCTCTGTTTTGGGGACCACGCTCAGGTTGTGACTCCGGGATATACCCCTGGGGGTGATGGGGGACCCTGTGTGATGCTGAGGGCCAGATGGGGGTCAGCTGCATGTAAGGCTCACGCCCCACCTACTGAGCTCGCTCCAGCCTGAGGCTTATTGTTTTTGTTTCTTTTGGCCACACCCGCTGGTTTTCTGGGGCTTCTCCCAGCTCATGTTGGGGGGTCTTTAGCAGTGGCACAGGCCCAGGCCCGCCCCCACCCCCAGCACCATTTGAGAAGACAAAGATGATTCTTCCTTTGCTGAGTTAGAGGCAGGGGGGATTTCTGAAGTCTCTACCTCCAGAACCCGTGGAGATGTGGTCACCCTTGTTTGCGCAAGTGTCCCCGCATGGGGTGCCCCCTTGACCGGCTGCTGTCTGCACCCCGCAGGGTTACCCTGGACACCCCGATGAACCGGAAGTCCATGCCTGAGGCCGACTTCAGCTCCTGGACCCCCTTGGAGTTTCTAGTGGAGTGAGTATCGGGGGCGGCCTGAGCTGCCTCCTGCCCCGACTTCCCCTTGACCTCCATCGCACCCTCCCCCCTCCCCCCATCACACACCCCCACTTAAGGACCAGCCTTGATCTCTGGGCTGAGTGAATGTCACAGGAGGTGTGAGGTGGGCATGTGTGAGCTCAGAGTGTGGGTGTGCAACTCATGCGTTCGGTGGCCAAGGGCATCTCCCACCCACAGCGACAGGGACCAGGGCTGCGAGGCTGGTTGGTAATCGGTCACCCTTTATTCCCGTCTTCATCCCCTACTCCAGTCTCACAGCATTAGTTATAGAGATGCTCAGAGTATGACTCCTGAAGGGTTGCAGGTAGCAATTACAAGGAGGTGTGGTTGCACAATCAACAGATGTCAAGCCCTTCCTTCAGGGGAGACTTCTAGGACAAAATCTTATCCTGTTAGAAGGTCCGCCCAGGGGCGGAATTCCATCAAAGGTGTATTACTTTCCCCTTTCCTTAGCCATTAGCCATTTAAACAGTCATCTTAAATTTACTTGTTGCTGTATTTCTAGTCATTTTGTGTGGACGCAGTAAGAAATATATTAAACTTAAAGGGTGGCTCTTCCTGAGGACATCTCGCTATATGTTCCAGACTACAGTCCTCAGGCCAGGTTAGTCTTTCCTAACCCAAGCAGAGTCCTTACTCAGCTACTTATTTTTTGGTCATGACAGAGTTTGCCCATAACCGTGCTCTTACAAGTTGTATAGTGCTTGGCCTGTCCTTTTTTCAATGCCAGGGTAACTTATAGCTTGTCCCTTTTCGATGCCTGGGTAGCTTACGGCTTGCTCTGGGTCCATCCAGCCCCTCACTAGGACCCTCCATTTGGGGTGTTAGGAACTAAGAGTAACTGAGGCTTCAGTTGATTAAATATGACAGATGCCTAGGAGTAAATATTGTGTGGAGTCAGTTAACTCCCAAGTTACAAAAGCATAGCATTGGCTGTCTTCCTGTGCCTGTACAAAAAGGAAACTATGCAAAGGACATATAGGAAAGAGAAAAGCAGTATTTTACTTACAAATACAAGTACAATTTTACTTACAAATAGGAAATCCAGAGTCCTTAGAAGGATCTGACCTTACAGGTCACGGGGTCTGATTTGGGGATATAAGTGATTAGTAGGGGAAGCAGAGCACAGAGAAGTTAAAGGTAAACACAGGAACAGAAGTGCCTTTGGAGCACTGTGATGGCTGTAACCTTATAAACATAAGCTCCCTGCTGGGCATTGAGTGTCGGGGATCAGCCCCTTCCCACCAGCCCTTCCCCGAGCATATTTCTCTGCCCTCAGCCTCAGCGTTGCATGTCACTGTTCGGAATAATACAGTCCATTGTGCCGGGCAGCTGGTCAGTGCCCCAGGTCTGCAGCTCTGAATCAATCTCAGCTCCTGCTAATGTCTTTATCAGCCACATGAAAGGGCGGGGCTGGGCGGTATAGGGGCCCGATCAAGGAGAACCTCAGATATCCGCTGGTTTGAATTTGTGCAGACCCCAGACCCCCAGATCTGTGAGGGAAGCACGTACGCAGCCCCCAGTGTGGGGTACGATGAATAAGATGCAGTCCCCACCCACCCCAGCAGATGGTGACATTGACCCTCAGTGCTGGCCTCTGCACACGAATTTAGTTTTTTTTTTAATTTTGCTTTTTGAGTCACATCTGGCAATGCACAGGGGTTACTCCTGGCTCTGCACTCAGGAATTACCCCTGGCGGTGCTCAGGGGACCAGATGGGATGCTGGGAATTGAACCCGGGTCAGCCGCATGCCAGGCAAATGCCCTACCCGCTGTGCTATTGCTCCAGCCCCCATGAGTTTAGGTTTTTGTTTTGAGGCCATACTTACGTTGTTTAGGGCTCCTCCCGGCTATGTGCTCAGAGGTCATTCCTGGGTAAGCTCACAGACCATCGGGGTGCCAGGGATCGAACCCGGGTTGGCCATATGCGGGGCAAATGCTGTGCTGTCTCTCCGGCCCCTGGGCTGTGCTTCTTACATGAGGTCGTAGCTCGTGTCCAGTGGCAACGTCTGAGACTGTTAGCTTATGTGTGGAACAAGCATTTAACCCAGTGCTTCACTGCAGAATGAATCTGTATTTTTTCCCTTATGGAAAGTCTGTGAGAAAAGTGCGGTTGTCACATAATCGAAGGCCTGAGGACAGGAGAGGGAGGGGCGGATCTGGGTGACTTGTTCAGGGTCGCCCGGCAGAGCTGGGACCTGACCTAGAAGCGGGCAGTCACCCGTGTTCTAAGTGGGCACCACTTCTGCCCGTGCCAAGTGCTGGACGTCACGCTGGCTCTGCAAAAGAGAAAGCGCTGAAGTTGTGTAAGAAGTCGGCCCTTTTGAACCCTGCTGGCGTCTGCGTGGTAAGGGAGACTTTGGCCGCAGGACCTGCATTCGGGTGGCTCACGGGGGCTGGCAGGTCTGTACGGGGGCCAGCTACAGCCCCGTGGAGAGATGTGGGGGACCAGTCCCAGGAGCACGCGTCTGAAGTAGGGGTGCCTCAAGGATTAAGAGGACCAGAAAGAAGAGCATGATTGACCCTGCTGTCCATCTCCTGCCCTGTTGACCGTCCACATCTCCCATCAGCAGAACTCGGGCAGTCACAGGCATTTCCTGTTCACGCTGCTCTCTCCGGGAGGAACAGACCTGGGTCAGAGAGGATGAGTGGGGGCAGGCGTAGAAGTCTCCAAAGCCATCTTCACTGGGAGAGGTAGCGGAGATAGCAGCATTGGCAGGACCCTCCCAAGGGGGCTTTCCAGGTGAAAAGACCCCAGTGAGCCATGTATCCAGCCCCTCTCCTCATCTGCCTCACTGATCTTTTAAACCAAGTGTGATCAGACTCATCTGCAAATGTGTGGCTTGAGCCCACCCAAACATCTCACTCTCCCCACCCTCCCCTGCCTTTTCTCTCTGGGCACTGTGTTCCGAGAGGTCATCATGTTCCTTTACCTCCTTTCAGCACACAGTTCCTATCCAGAGTGATCATTCCCAACTGTCTTTGTTATAGAGGTCCCTTCTCTTTCCCAACTGCTTCTCCCCCAGCACCTGAGGCAGCCTCCCAACCATGGACCAGTCCCTCTGACCCTTGTTTCTAATGTCTTTTAGTGTTAGTCTCATCTTATTATTATTTTTTTATGTCCCACAAATGAGAGCTGTCATTCTATGTCTGTCCCTCTCCTTCTGACTCATTTCATTCACCATGACACTCTCCATGTCCATCCATTTATAAGTGAATTCCATAACTTCATTTTCCCTAACAGCTGTATAGTATTCCACTGTGTAGCTGTGCCACAGTTTCTTTAACCAGTCATCTGCTCTTGGTGGGCACATGGCTTGTTCCCAGATTCTGGCTGTTGTGAATGGCGCTCACCTATTTCATGTGGCACGTTACATCTCACATGTTTCTATATTGCAGATGTATGTAGGGAATTGTCTGAGTGCTTTTGGGCGTGTTTGAAAAGCCAACTTTTCTTGGCTTGTTTGACACTCAGCCCTGGTCTGGAAGGTTCAGGGGCACTTAGGGACCAATTGGAAACCCTGAGCGCTTTCCAGCTGCAGGTCCAGAATCCCAGGGGAAAGCATCTGGTACCCGCAAACACAGGTGTTGTGTTTTTAGGGTTAGAGCGACCTGAGACATCTGGTGAATTCACCCATTTCACTGGGATGTTCTTAGGGGGTCTCTACACCTTCAAGCAGGGACCCCTGTTTCTGCACTTTACATAGTTTGTTGTAATTCTGTTTCTTGGTATCCTTTTTCCTTTGCTTGGCAGGCCCTGGTGCTTTGTAAGTGTATTCCTGGGGGGAAAATTTCTTCCCTTCTCTTTAATTTCTGGGGCAGTAACAGAGCAAAGTATAAAGTGTGATGTGTAAGGCTCTCACTCATTGACTAAACAAATCAAAACCTTTTGTGAGCACTTGAAGTCATACCACTGTTATAAAGGATGCCAGCAATGCAGAAAATATGGGAATGAAATGACTTTTTGCAAATCTGGTGGCACAGAGACGAGAGGGAACCCAAGTCTGGCACCTGTGTCCGTGAGCCCACCTCACAGCTGCTGCTCCCCCCCTGCTCCACAACCCCTCCGTCCCCGAACCATAGGTGTGGGGCTTGTCAGTAAACACACGTCCCACGGTTTGCTTTAAAATGATAAGTGTCTTTTCATTCTAGAACCTTCCATGACTGGATCACAGAGAAAAACCGACCCAGCTCGGGAAGCCTAATCCAGGTGGTCACCACGGAGGGAAAGACAGAGCTGACCCCTGCGTATTTCTGAGCCCCATGTTGTGCGAGGGCCCGGCGGGAGGAGTTGTCGGTGGCTCATGTGGCCGCATCTGGGCCTCCCATTGTTTGTTCTGTCCGTGGTGCCAGATCTCTCTGCTCATTCTGTGTCTCCTGTGTCCGTGTGGAATAATGCCCCATGTGCCCGTGCTGGGACCGTGATTTGGAATGTTTCTGTCTTAGACTAGTTTCCTTGGTTGAACTGCCTTAAGTCCCCCTTGGTGTGTGAGCTTGTGCCCTGGGCTCTGTGGCATGTCTGTCACTGTGTCATTGCCAAGTCTTTTTCATCCAATAAATGTACTTCACTCATGGCGGTGTCTCCTTACATCAGCCCCCCCCCCCCCTTCTGAGTCCCAGATTCTGCTTACCCACACCCCCAACCCAAGAATGAACTCGGGCCATTCACGTGCAAGGCAACCCCCCTACCCACTGTACTATTGCTGTGGCCCCTAGAAGAGCTCTTTCAAAGTGAAAAATCCAGTGACGTTTAGAAGAGATGCCTGTGCTGACACCGTGGTCTTGCATGCCCCAGCCTCCGGAACTGTGAGAAAGCAGGTTTTTAAAAAGAAATTTGTTTTGGGGGCTACACCCAGCGGTGCTCAGGGCTTACTCCTGGCTCTGTGCTCAGGGATGACTGCTGGTGGGCTATGCCAGGGATCAACCCAGGTCAGCTTGTGCAAGGCGAGTAAGTGTCCTACCCACTGGACTCGCTCCAGCCTCTGGGCTGTTGTGTTACAGCTGCAGGAACAGGCGGACTAAGGCAGCCCGGCCGTTAGCAGTCAGAGCTGCAGCACATGCACCTTTCAGTTCATACCTAAGGCGGGTGGTACTAATCCTCAATCTCTGAAGTCTGGAGACTTGCTGAGAATGCCACTAATTCCAGGAGAGCTGGCCGCTGTCCTTCCACTTGGAAGCCAGACCTTAGAATTGATCATCTAGTGTCTCCTTCCCTGCCCAGCCAGGGAGGGTCGAGAATATCAGAGGCAGCCCAGGAAGGGTGGGGAACTTCTCTCCAGCCACTCCTAGAAGAAGTCATTGTTGGTGCCAAGTGTGCAATCAACAGCCACTTCTAGGTGTCTGGGACAGGAAGTGGCTGGAGACAAAGACCTGAGACTGGAGATTGACTCTAGGGGGAGGAGAGGTCACCAGCTAAGTCTCATTTCACAAAAGACCCTTGAGATCAGTATTCAAGCGGTTTAACTAGGGAGGTGAAGGGCCCATACGAAGAAAGCCACGAGAGGCTACTTCAAAAAATAAGAGGACGCAGGGAAATGGAGACACATCCCCTGCTCACGGATCGGGAGAAGTCATGTCAAAATGGCAGTGCTCCCCAGAGCATTGTACAGATTCAGTACAGTCCCTATAAGGATACTCAGGACATTTTTCAAAGAAATTGACCAAACACTCCTGAAATTCATAAAGAGCAATAAACCTTACTGGATAGCTAAAGCAATCCTTGGGAAAAAGAAGATGGGAGGCATCACCTTCCTCAACTTCAAACTGTACTACCGAGCAGTAGGAATTAAAACAGCATGGCATTGGCATGAAGGCAGACACCCAGACCAATGGAGTAGAGTTGAATATCCTAACATGCCCTCAAATATGTCACTGTCCTCCCGTTGTTCATCGATTCACTTGAGCAGGCCCAGTAACATTGTGAGACTTGTTTCTGTGTTTGGCATATCAAATACGACATGCCTGCCAGGCTTTGCCGTGCGGGCAAGATACTCTCAGTAGCTTGCCGGGCACTCCAAGAGGGGCGGAGGAATAGAACACAGGTTGGCCTGGTTGGCCACGTGCAAGGCAAACGCCCTACCTGCTGTGCTATTGCTCCAGCCCCCCTCACCCCCTGCCCCTCAGCAGTAGAGCACTCGCCCTCAAATATATAATCATTTATATAATACATCATTTATGTAATATATAATCTTTTTCAAGGGAGTAAGAAATAGTAGTGGAGCAAGGAAAGCCTCTTTAACAAGTGGTGCTGGGAAAACTGCATGGTATTGGCATAAAGGGCCTGGGCCCCCCGAGCACTCCAGGAGCGAATTCTGAATACAGGGCTGGATGTCGCTCCCAAGCATCTCTGGGGGTGGTTCAAAATGGGAGGAAAACCCCCAAAAATCCAAAGACGTGGCTGGAGTGATAGCACAGCAGGTAGGGCGTTTTCCTTGCATGCGGCCCACCCAGATTCAATTCCCAGCATCCCATATGGTCCCCTGAGCACCACCAGGAGTAATTCCCGAGTGCAGAGCCAGGAGGAACCCCTGAGCATCGCCAGGTGTGACCCCAAAAGGAAAAAAAAACAACCCAAAGAGGTTGAACTCCCCCCAGCCCTCCAGGTGTCCATGAGGAGGGAAGGCCCCTGGGAGACCGGCAACTAGAGGCCAGAGCTGCCTCTCTGCATGGTGAAGTCACGCCCTGACACAGAGGGGGGTCCTCCTCCGTGCCCAGATGGTGGCCCCCATCTCAGCACCGCAATCTGAGAATCTGGTTAGCTCATCCACTGCCCGGTCCATCTGTGTATTGGGGCAGCCCAGCGGATGCGCACTAGCGAGCCGGTGAGGATGGGCGGTGATCGGGCTCAGAGTGGGCTCAGAGCTCGTCCCAGACAGGGTGGGGAAGGGCAGGGACTCGGCCTCTTGAGCGATCGCTGCTCCTCCCACGAGGACTGCCCAGCCTGGCAGTTGCCCACATCCTCCCGGACACAGCGTCTGCCTGCAGGGGCCGGGAAGGCGCCCGGGTCATCTCTCATTCAACGGTGGCTCTACTTTGGATTTCCCTCTGCAGGGGCAGGGGCGGGGCGATGCCAGCAGCAGAATCAAAGGTTTCTTTGAATCAAAGGTTTCTGCCTCGGAGCACGGCTCCCCGCTTGCGTGCTGTCAGCTTGGGCAAATGGTCACCTCTCAGTTGTAGGGAAAAAGGGGCCAGTGATTGTTTGGTGCCCTAGGATTATGAGACGGTCGTTGCCCATAGCAGGCTAACCCTCCCAGGCACACGCACCAGCGTGCACGCACACACACACATGCACACACTCAGAAAGGGGCTCTGTGGCCATCAGCCTTCGTTTCGAGTTTATATGAAAACCTAACGGGAAGAGAATGAAGTGATTTGGGGTCGGCCATGCCTGGTGCTGTGCAGGGGACCGTGTGGCGCCAGGACTGAACCTGGGGTTCCAGCGGCCCTTTCTTTCTAAAAATTATTTGTACAAAGTTGTTCACAGTAATTTATTACATTCAGTATTATAACACCAATCCCACCACCAATCCACCTTCCCACCATCATTATTTTGAATTTTCCCAACCACCACTCAAGCCTTCACCAATAGCAGGCCCTAAGTAATTTATTTAGTATTGCTTGTTATGAATAATTCGCTAAAAATTATCAAAAAAAAGTCTCCTTAGAAGAAAGTGTGTGAATATTGTTGTATCTCACCCTGGAGCCATTAAGTCCTTGTATAAGAGATTACTAACGTGCTGTTACAGGTTGAGCCTTGTGTGCTAATATATTTTCATTTGTTTTATTTTAGTTTTGTGGGTCACACCCGGCGATACTCAAGGGGTTTCTCCTGGCTCTGCACTCAGGAACCACTCCCGGCAGTGTTTGGGGGACCAATAGGATGCTGGGGATCGAACCTGGGTCGGCCGCATGCAAGGCAAACGCCTCCACGCTACCCTATCTCTCTGGCCATGGTAATATTTTTTTAAGTGAGATTGCTGGCCTTCTACTTCACACCCCATCCGATGAGGTATGCTATTCCTGGTACATCAGAGGTGTAGGGAGTGTGCGATGTCACGAGACCCCGGGTCTCAAGGGCCCTTTAGCTATCTTCTCATCCACTCTGTGCTTGCTTTGTTGTTTGATTTTTTTTGCACAATACACTGGGATTCAGGAGGCTGGTCCTGGCTCTGTGCTCAGGCGCGCCCCCTGGCGTTTCTTGATGGATCCGACGTGCTGCTGGGGATTTGAACAGAGTCTGCCACTAGGTAGGCACGACCTTGACCTCCTTATGTCGTTCAGGCCAACGAGGTGCTTTGCAAGACCAGCTGACATCAGTAGTCAAGTCAGGGACTGAGAGATCACCCCGTCAAATATATCGGGGCACAGGCTAGGTTAAAAACATACACCAAACTGACACACGTAACCAACCAAACTCGTTTGTGATGTGCTCTGGGCGAAACACGGTGAGTAAAGTAAGTAAAGTAAAGTAAAGGCCCTCCCGTTGATCGTCGATTTGCTCGAGCGGGCCCAGTAACGTCTCCATTGGAGACTTTGTTGTTACTGTGTCTGGCATATCGAATACTCTCGGTAGCTTGCCGGGCTCTCTGAGAGGGGCGGAGGAATCGAACTCGGGTCGGCCATGTTGGCCGCTTGTAAGGCGAACGCCCTACTGCTGTGCTATTGCTCCAGCCCGCTGTGCTATCGCTCCAGCCCTGTGCTATCGATAGCACAACACGGTGAGTAAGAGAGCTTTATATAGACAGCCATGTCGGTTGGGAGAGGAACGGGAACAAAACAAAACCCAAATCAACAGGAAACCCACCCCCCAAATCCGACTATGGTTTATAGATCGCTGGGTGCCAGGAACTTTGAGTATGATTTTTTTGTCCGTTCTTGGCAATAACTCTTGGTTTGGTGCTGGAGTTAACGTATCACCCGAGTCACTTGTGGTTTTCTGCCCAGAGCAGCACCCCCTGGCTTATGATTCCCGTCAGCCCGAGATGGAGGTTGGATCTGCTCCATCAGCGGGATTCTTGGGTGAGACGTCAGCTGGATCTTTGGTCCATTTTTGTATTGTGTTATTTGTTTATTTATACAGCTGTAAAATATAACTGTTGCGAAGGTAGATTATTGGTTTTTGTTTTAAAATGCTTAGCAGGCCACCCCAGATGGGGGCGGATGCTGTCCCTCCGCCTGTTCTCTGGGGATCCTGGCTGGCGCCGTCTTCCAGAATTCATTGGAAAAACCAGGTACAGGTCAGCAGTGACGACACACACCGGGCCTCACAGGATAGGGGAGGAGCTGATTCTTTTCCTCCCCTGCCCAGACGGGACCCTGAGATGCTGCCCATGAACGACCCCCCCTCCACAAGGACTTAATGCAGAACCCAGCAGCTTGGAGCAGAAAAGTGAAAGGACTATGCGTTAATCCAGGCCATCATGTCTGCCCGGAGGGGAAAGGGTGTTGGTCCCTTCTGCCCTCCTCCCTCTGGAAAGAAAGATGGCGGCCACATGGGAGCCTTGTGGACAGCAGGTAGGAGCCGGGGGTGTGGGGGCGACTAAAACCTCATGGGAAGGGGGGCGTTCCGGTCCA